AATTCTCACAGTTAACCCCGTAAGGTTTTGTGGAAAGTTGTGCCTCTCACTCTCGGCTGCTGCGCTCTTGGAAGAGGAAGCCTGTAGTTACCCTCAGGCCCCTGGAGCTGCTGTGCCCCTCTCGCGTGCTCTGGGTTCCGCGCCCAGTGCCGTTGTCTGGTGTCTCTCACTCTTCTCCAGACTCGCCTTACCTCTCTGCCTCCTCCTGGACTAGGGTACAGATTTTTGAAGGCAGGACTATATCTCATTTTTTTACATGCCCACGTAAGTGCTAGGTCTTTGGTACCTTGTTACTTTCTTAAAAGAAAAATCCTGTCCTTCCTGTAGCCTCAGGGCTTACCCTGAATATTTTTGAGTGTAATATGTCTTTCTTTCAGAATTTTTTGTCAGCTGTTCCTACAAGTCTCTGTTCACCACACACTATAAGGGTCTCTGATGCTCACAGTCTGTGTCACGTGGCCTTTCTCCACACTGCCCCGGCCTGGAGCTGGCAGCACGCAGGGAAGCACAGTAAACGTGAGCCGTCTTTTCCTCCCTGGAGCAGTCGTGTGGCTCTGCTCAAGCCGATCTATAAATTCAGTTGTGGAGCATGTAACCTCCCAGAGGTGTGTCGTGCCTTACTCTCACTGTAAAGAATAAATCTTCAGGTCGTGCCATGCTGCATGTGTTGCATGGAGTGAAATACATGTTTGCTTTTGTGTTGTGACTGTTCCTTTCAGAGGTCATTACTTCCTGTAGGCGGGTCTGTTCGTCCCTCGTTGGAGCAGACCGCACGTGCTGTCCGAGGGCCCTGGCGCACTGGCGCGTGTGCTTATGTGTGTTTGAGCTTTTCTGGTTAAATAAAACGCCTCGCGCTTTCTCTCTGCCTTACCTGGAGTGATCAGTGCTAGGTTGTTGCTACTGTAACCCAGCTGTGATGATTCAGTGGGCGGATGTCAGAGCGCGATGGGACGTGGAAAAAGATAGGCTCAGATTGGTTTCCCTGTTGTGCTCTGACATTTTGGCCCATGGAGTTTTCAGGGGAAAAGCTTTTGGTAGAACAGCGTAATCTTTGCGTATCCATTGAACTCAGAGCCTTCTTTATAAAGGGGAAGCTTTATGCCCAGCTGAAGTAATGGTGCAAATTGGTCTTCATGTCTTCCCCTCACGGTAGCAGTTCTGATGCCTCTTCAGGACTGGGTTTCTGTAATGATTCTGGGAATTCCACTAATACTTCAGTGGCTGACGTGCTCTTTCTATTACTTGGTGCGGTGTCTACTCATCGTATGTTCTCATTAATCATCTGTTATCTGAACATAAGAGACAGCCAGAAGGAGGAACATGAAATCAAGAAACCTCTAAATAATCTAGAGAAATAGTTAGCAGGCCGTGATAGAGTCCACAGATGATGTTTGACACAGATGAGGGTGGTCACAGGCGATCCAGCTGTGAGCGGCAGCTCAGGAGTTTCAGTTCTTCATAGTGGAGATGGGGCCACTTCTGTGCCGGGAGGCAGAAACCACGTGGCACTGCAGTGACAAGAGTTCCTAGAGGAATTGGTTAACCAGGTGTTGAGAACGGAAGGTGGAGACGGGATACACTGCAGCCCGGGAACTGCGGGAATCAACTGTTTGATTCCAGGGCTGGGGGGAGAGAGAGACGTGAGTGCTGCCACAGGCCTCCGCCAGGCGCTCGTTCCACGGCGAGGGTGGAGCTGAGCCCCTGACAAGCTGGTGCTGCTAGGCTGGTAGTAGACCCTTGGCAGTGCAGGGGACGGGGCCCTGGGTGCTGGGGTGCTGCTGCTGCACCACTGAGGGGCAGAGGAAGGGGGTGCTGGCTCCATAGGTACTGGGAAATGACTGCCTCTCATGTTTTGAAAATCTTACTCATTTCAAATTTATAGAAAAGTTAAGAATCAATCAATTTTAATATTTGAGCAAGTTCACTTTTGCATGACGTGGCGGCTGTAGAGCAGGCTGTTTGATTGGTTGCTGGTTAATTTATAAATAGTAGTCACATGAGAAGTTTCTTAAAAACTTGAAGACAGAGAAAAGATGAGCTAGCGCCCGGCTGTTTATGAATGGCCACCCCAAAAGGAGCAGTGCAGATTCAGGGAAGGGGCTGTGGGTAGTTGGGGGTGCACCCAGGGCTTGCTGATGGCGTGACAGAGAAGCAGGCATGGCATAGGGGGCAGGGACACATGGTTTTGACTAGTGCAAAACAATAGCCAGTGTGGCTGCCGATGCCCAGCACCTTAAATGCTGAGCTGGAGAGTTTGGACTTTTCTGTAGGAAATGGCCCAAATTATTTTATTAGTTGACACATTTTTATTTTATTTTATTTTTTTAAAGATCGATTTGTTTGTTTGTTTGTTTGTTTATACAAGCACTGGGGTACAGGCCAGAGGCACGGGAGGGTGAGAGGATTCACCAGAGACAGAGCGGGGAACAGAACAGGCAGACAGACGAAGTACACTGCTGATGGGAGCAGCGGGCAAGATAGGAGAGGTCTTCTGCGCCATGTGGGATTCTCCCTGGCCTGCCAGGCATCAAACCAGTGCTGCGAAGGCTGCGGACAGCTTCACAGCGCTGCGCTCAACCCGCTGCTCCACTGGTGAGGCCCAGTTGACACATTTTTAATGACTTGGAAATATTCTGACATTGGTCTCAAGTCTATTGTAATTAATTACATTGTCATAGCAGGTTTTTTTTAAATGTGTATTTTATACATTTTAAAGTACCAAATGTGATTTTCTTCATTTTTTTAAATGAAGTCTCTTTTGAGTTCAGTAGGTACTTATGCTTAAAGCATCACCACGCTGGGGAAGTGACCATGAGAACGCGGAGCAGGTACTGAGGGCAGGAAGGCAGTTTTGCTGTGTGACGTTTGCTCCCTAACCTGTCTGTGCTTTGAGTATCAGAGTAGCAGAGCTGTTAACTGTGTCGGAGTTGTTAGGACCATAAATGCTTATATGACAAGTGTCTAGTACCTAGTTTTAGGAGATACAGAAAGGTCCAAATTGTTCTCTTTTGAAATGTTAACATCTGTTTACTTACATGTGATATTGACCATGACCTGTTATCACTAACATTGCTGTTAAACATAGTTGATAACACATCTATATCTTATTTTATAACATATACATAAGTTACATATGTTTATGCAGGTCCATAATCTATAATCCATAATTATAAACCCCCCAAAGTACAGAAAAGTGTGCTAAAAGCCTGTTTTCATTCTGCTTATTCACATGTTTGTTACAGATTGGGTTATCAGACTGTTTCCTCAGACCCCATTGGGGATGTTCTCTAATCTTTGGCATATTATCTTTCTACAAATCTGGAAAATTCTCAACACTTCTGCTACTGATTTTCCACGTGGGCCAGTAGATTTGTAGAGAAATTACCAAGGGTTTGTTATAGTCCAAACTTTACACTTTTGTGTTTGAAAAGTAAAGGTGTTATTTATAATGTTGTAATCTTTATATTGTGTTTATCTATGTAAGATAGAAGTATTCATTTGCTCTATGACCCAGTGCACTCCCAAGTATTTATCCAAACACACGCAAATAGAATTTTCATAGTGGCTCCAGTCACAATATCCAAAGAAACAGAATCACCCAAGTGTCGATAGTGTAACAATGAGAAAATGAGCTCAACAGTACTCGGTTTTTAGGCATGGGCTGCGGTGACGGGGCACCTGTGCAGGTGGCTAAGGGCAGGCGGCCGTGCTCGTGCATGCTCTGTGACCCAATGTGTGAAGATCTGGAACAGGCAGAAGTGAGCTGTGGTTTAGAAATCCGATCCAAGGTTGCTTTGTGGGGGGCCTTGACTGGAATGAGGCCGAGGGTACCACTGGGGGGTGTCCTCTGTGCTTGGGCAGCTTTCATCAGGACCATCACCTGTGGTACGGAAGGTCTCAGCATTTCCCTGCATGTGATTTTTAGAAAGTATACAAAGCAGCTACCTAAGAAGCAAGGCACCATGAGGCCCCACGTGCCCACCTAGACCCCGCATTGTAAGATCGCATTGCGCGACCTGAGGTCTGGCTGCTGTGGAGCTGCCCCTGATGCTAGGGGAAAGGCAGTGTCCGTCCCCACAGGGCCTCCCTCTGAGCCGGGCTCTGCGCGGGACCTTCTGAAGTGCCCGGAGACGTGTAAAAAGGCACCGTGACTTTTTTGACAACCCAGTAAATGCATCTTTGTGCAGATTCCCAGGAACCAAGGAAAGGAAGTCTGTGCTGTCTGCATATCTTCTCCATTTTCTACTCTTGCGAGGTTTTGAAAAGTTGGCAGCGACACATTGAATACTATCTTTATGATGTTTTCACTCACCTTTTTCTTTAATTCTTCATGGCTTCTGAAGAGCCCACTCAGCGGTTCTTTTCCCTACAAATGACAGCTGCCGTGTGCTGCTGGGTTCCCAAGGAGTCTGTGGGCCTGGGCACTGAGGAAGAGTAGGGCGGGGAAGCTGGTTGTCTGCCCTGGTCCTGCTCCTTCGGTGGCTTTTCTCCCAAGTCCTGGCCTTAGGTCCTCCATGAAGTGTGGGGGTGGGACAGCTCCGTTAGGTCTCCACCACCTCAGGGTGAGCCTGGGGAGGTCGCTTTCATCTCCTTGCTTCCCTTTGCTGTAGCTAAGGTTTGTCCTGTGGGGGGCTCAGACATTTGGTTTGGAAATGAAGATTTCTCAAACTGATAATTTGAAAATTAAGTCCTAGTAAATAACTAGAGCGTGGAGTGAGTTGGGGTTCAGCATTGAAAAACAAGGAGCGGCTCTGTTCTCGAGGCCTTCACTTTGCTCATGGCGGTAGCAGCAAGCCGCAGCCGAGGGCAGAAGCAGGATGGCCATTTGCGAGACAGCGTTGAAGTTGAAGTTTGCACCTTCACTTTTTCCCATCTCGTTTTTCCCTTGGAAACAGCTGCTTATGGTCACGTGGTATCTATTTTAAGGCTTGTGCTTAGACACGGCTGGGGTGTATATGGACCATCTCAAGTCTTACTGCTCTTGTGTTTTCTGTGTATAGGCAGAGGGAGAAGACAGCTTGAAGAAGATGCAGCTGATGGAGCTTGCGATTCTGAATGGCACCTACAGAGATGCCAACATTAAATCACGTAAGAACGAGCTGAGGCCCAGGGTTGCAGCTGCCTCAGTTGTTTATCCACAAGCCTTTCTCCTTTTGGCAACACAGCACATGGGTAGTGAAAGCGAAGAGTTGAAATAATGACCACTTGATACGGGCCTGGCAGCCCCATTCTCATTGCTGTGGCCAGTTGAGGGTTCTCTTGGTTTTTGTGCTGGTATTTCACGTTTGGAGTTTATAACCTTTTATGCTTTCAATGAAATTTCCACTCCTAAATTCCAAAGTTTCAGGGAATTTTCTGTTCTGTTAACTACAGATTTAAGGCACCTAGCTTTATTTTGTTAGAGTTATGCTAAGGATGAGAAACTTTCAAAAAAAAAAAACTTTAAGCTAATATGGAATCCATGGGAATGCAGTCAGTGATCCTGAGAATCCTGGGATTTCACCTTGCGTGCATGTTTCCCGCCAGTGTTTTGTTCTCTATTGATTTCACACGTGAGTTCACAGAGAGCAGTAGGTGATGCTGTTTTTAATCCCATTTTCCTCTTTTCATGTATCTGTGCGTGCTTTGCATCAACTCTGAGAGGGTTGCTTTTTTTTTTTAAATGAAATAATGTGACATCTCAATTTGAGACAATCTAAGGTTGATACATGTATATGTATCATTTTTAAATTACTCTTTTTTAAAGAGAATGTCATTTCAAAATCCTAGCCACCTTTCCAAAATGTAGATGACCCAGTGTATTTAAAGAAGTGTCACTTTACAAATGGTTTCATTTGACTTACGAGAATGAGTATATCACTCATCGTCATGTACTTGGGAATGGAAAATCCTTTGTATTTTTTCCTGTGAAAATGGTAATTCCTATAGTTAGGAAATTTATATAATTAGTGATTATTTAATTAACTTCTAATACAGTAAAAATTACTGTTTCTTCAGAAATATACCAAAGCTGTATTTCTGTGGACTCCAATTACAAAATAATTTTTTTAACGCTAGTGTTTTCTTGGGCTACTGCATGTACCTTTAGTCTCATGAGAGCTTACACACATAGGTGTATCAGATATTTGAACTAAATATAACCTGTTTTAATAGTCTCGTGTTGTTACTATTTTTTTACAGTGGCTTTTTAATTTGCGCACATTTATTCTTAACCACCACTGGGAAGGGGAAGCTGTCTGTGTTTGGTTGGTGTGCTTTGGCGTTTTCGTGTGATCAGCGCATGTACTAATGATTTCCTTTTATTTTTCTTCTTTCCTGCTTTTCCTTTTTCCTACTTCCCTCTCATTTTCCCTGTTTATACTGCTGTCTCTATACTTCCTTCTAAATTTCTTTGCTTACTGTAGCAGCCCTTGCCTTTTCTCTTGCAGCAACAGCCCAGGCTGCTCCACGGATTATTACCGGGCCTGCGCCTGTTCTCCCACCAGCCGCCCTGCGTACTCCTACGCCAGCTGGTCCTACCATAATGCCTTTGATCAGACAGATACAGACCGCCGTCATGCCAAACGGAACTCCTCACCCCACTGCTGCAATCGTTCCTCCAGGGCCTGAAGCTGGTTTAATCTACACACCCTACGAATACCCCTACACATTGGCACCAGCTACATCAATCCTTGAGTATCCTATTGAACCTAGTGGTGTATTAGGTAAGTTCTCCTCCCTGTATGCTTAGCGACATTTTTCTTCATAACCCTTGCTGTCCTGGATTTTGAAATGAAAGGATTGTACTAGGTCTAGGGAGGCAAGAAAAGTTTCCACTAGGAAAGACTGAAGACTAAATTTCATTTCAATCTCTCATCTGGTTTCTCCTTTTAAATAATTGCATCTTAAATGTCTTCAGCTCTACTTTGATAATTCAGATTCACCTTGGTTGGTAAATTCGCTACGCACATTTTACGCAGAAAATACTTTTCACATTTGATGTCATTGAGATTCCCCCTCCCCCACTAGCCTCTGCCCTTCATCAGCGTCAGCACTTTGGCTCAGATTTAATTAGTTGTTGGCTAAATTTTATATTTCTATGTAAAGGTATTTTGAGATCTTTTAAGAACCCCTATTGTGTGGATGTTTTCTATTATTTGTAATCACTTAAAATGTGAAAGGTAAATAGTTGCGTTTTTAAGTTTCTTCAGTTTTTTGAATTCCCAGCTAATCTTAAGCCTTAGAGATACTCTTTACTTTCAGTAGTATAGTATGTCATGGGTAAGTAAATCCCAGGTCACTGAATTAGAGTCACACTTGAGGCCTAAATTAAGATCATATACTATAAATGCTCGGTTTTACGTAAACAAAAAGTGGTGTACTCGAAAAAGACATTACTGATGCCTTTTTTTTGTAGAGTGGATTGAAATGCCAGTCATGCCTGATATTTCAGCCCATTGACTTGCTGGATGAAGGACTAGAGTACAGCAGCTGTCATAACACGACCAGTCAATGTGGAGCAGACTGCTTCCTGGCTGCCCCTTTGTTTTACCACACAGAATTTGAATACTTTTTTCCTTGAATTGTATATGACCTTGGTGCTGCATGCATGCTGTTGACTTTTAGGACTTTGAGCTTTTAAAGGTTCCCCCCCACCCCAAGCATTAATCCTGATTTATAAAAATTTGAAAGCCTTTAGTGGACCTGGACACTAAGATTTAAACTTGAGAAGTCATTCATTGTTCAGTTAAAGGAACCACGCGCTCTGTATGTTATCTGTGTGTGCACGCATGCAGGCGCCTTTTGTTTCATGGCAGATACTTTTTATTGTACATGTTTTCTGTTTAAATCCTTGTGTGAAGTAGTACAGGACAGGTCATACCATAGAACTGTTGGTGAGAGGCTTGTTTCTGTTGCACATCCTTGAAGCATTTTTACAATAACATGTAACATGTAACCTGTTTACGTTTTCCTTTCTGTTAACGCTCTGTTCTGTGACCCCACGCCTGCTCCTCTCCCCAGAGCTCCTCTCTGCTGCAGCACAGCGTCTGTTCGAGGAGTTTGACTGTTGCTTCCTGCAGGGCTGGCACTCTTAGCCACCAGCTGCTGTTCCAGCACTCTCAGTGCAAGATCTCGCTGATTTTGCCTCTTGGAGTTACACGTTTAGAAGATTAGCTTATCTAAAATGAAAGGGGGGTGATGGACCAAGACTTTACTGCTTAGAAACAACAAGAGGCACTGCAGTCAAATTTGTTTCTCATCTTAAAGCAATATGTTTTTTGTTGTGTTGGGAAATTGTTACTTATAAAAATTGTTAGACAAAATTAAAAGCAAAATGAAACAAATACTGAATTGGCATTTTATAAGATGAATAAGGAATACTAAGTGGAAAAAAAAAATAAAACTGCATTATGGCCAATTTTATTTCTTGCTTTGCCACCTAAGCAGTAAAACATAATTTTTACCAGTTGGAGAGCTCAGAAAATTATTTCCAATTGCTAAGTTATAATAAATTTGCACACAGATAACATGCATGCTCTATATCAAGTCTCACATCATATTATTTTAAATAAGCAGTGCCCTTCAAAACAGATGCAGACAGTGTGTTGGTGGTAGTGAGGAGATTGGTGTTAGCATCAAATCTTCATTGATGACTAATTTTTAATTCCCTTCCTTTTATCTTTAGGTATGGCTTTCCCAACGAAAGGCTAAGAATTCAAGAACGGTCTTAACTGAACCCTCATCAGATCTGAATTTAACAAATGCTTAGTCTCAGCAGCCTCCAGGGGGTTGGGGGGGAGCTTAGCCTAGCAGTCAGTGACTTACTTGCACTTTTTGCACACTGATAGAAAGTAAAAATATGTTATTAATTTGGTTTAGTCTGTACCCTTACAAAGTAACGGTGATTTATACAGGAGTGTATAGTAGAGTACTGACTGCTAAGTGTACTATACTGTTTGCTTTACTAATCACCTAATTCATTGCAGTTCATACTTATTGACTCAAAGTTTAAAATCACAATCTGTAGGCTTTAAGAATTGCTTTTAAACCTTTTTAAGTGATAAACTCTGGAAGTGGTCTTAAGGTTAGAATATAATTGTCAGTTTTAAATGTGGCATTATTGAAGTAGTCTGCTGCAAGAAAGGCACTTCAGTGAATATGTGACTAGTAAAGCTTGACTGTGCTGGGTCTGGTAGAGCTCATGAAACACTGTAACTGGGGATTGTGAATGAGCGCCTCAAATAGGGTAAGGCCAAGATGTTTGAAGTGAATGCAATATTAATAGACGCCTAGAGACGCAATGTATTATGGTTAATTTTAAAACTACTGTGCCTTAACATGTTTCTTAAAATGAAACTTTTGTAGTAAATGAACATTTGAAATCCATTTTGATAAACCTGCTGTTAATGTTTGTTTTTTTTTTTTTTTTTTTTCCCTTGTGAATGTTTTCTAACGTTGTCTTGGTAATTGCAATTTAACTAGGTGCGGTGGCTACTAAAGTTCGAAGGCACGATATGCGTGTCCATCCTTACCAAAGGATTGTGACCGCAGACCGAGGTTAGTTTAGTTCTGCAGTTCTTGTTTATAAGAAATGCCTTGGGTGTCCGTAAAATTTGCAACACCACACCTGATGGAAAAATATAACTGCTTACCTGCACACCATTTCATTCCCTTTTCTAAATTAATTTGTAATAATGAACCAGATGGAAGGGTTGGGTTGTTTTGGTGGGTTGTTTGTTTCTCTTGCTCCCTTCATATTTTTACTTATTGAATCCTGTACTAGAATAACTGATAATATGCCTACTAAAACATAAATTAGTCTGTTTGGGGAGCTATTAAATTCTTATGTTGCCTTAATTATTTTTCAGTAATATTTTTGCTAAAATTTGCTTTTTAATTCTTCTGAAATTTTGGGTTGGTTTTGCAAAATGAACTGAGTGGATGGTGCTTTAATGAGAGAAGTAAAGGAATATATGCCTCCTGTGTCCTTGTGGAGAAAACTGAAGATTTAGTTTCCATTTTCCTTTTTAATAAGATATTTGAGCCACTATACAAACATGAGGATATACATGTCAAGTTAACTTAGCTGACATCAACAAAGTAAGGACTGTGAAGATAACTTTGATGCAGTTGGATATTTTTATAAATCAGAAAATCAATTCCCTTTTATCTTACATTCTCTTGCCAAAATGGATCCTTTGATTTCTGTCATTTGCTGCTAAAATACATTATCTGAAGGTAAACTCTCTTGAAGTTCTGTGGTGACATGAATCCAGCTGTCTGGATTTCCTTCTAACTAACCTGTGACTGGAAAATAAGTCTTCATTTTTCTCCTTTTCAACAGTTTGTAATTTGTGTCCTATATATGCTCTTGGACCCTTTTATAAATTATTTATGTTTATTGAATGATATTTTCGGTTTATTGACATTGAATTGTTTTCTAAGATTTCCAGCGTAAGATAGGAATCGAAGCAAAGTGGAGAGGGTTTTTTTATTATTTTTTTTATTTTTTATTTTTTTACAAGCTTCTGTCATGGCACATTTACTCTCTGCACATTAAGTTCATCAGAGTCTCTAGAAATTAGTGGGAGAAAGTGGTGGATTTATACTCCAGTCCTGTGTTTTTTATGGACTTCGGAAAGACCCACCTGCTGCTCATGGTGGATGTCCACGTGAGAGCAGAGACCTTTCCAAGACATCTGGTGTTTTCTTAGCATCATCCGTAATTATGGAGTCCGGAAGACTTCATCTAAGTCATGCATTATTTGAAGTGATTATTCAGTAAACAAAATAAGTAGACCCCACGCTCAGTGATCATCTATGAAAGTAACACTTGCTGTGCGCTGTGTGCAAGCTTGCCAACACCTTTCGCATCAGACCGAGTCTCCTTGTGAGGAGAAAACTTCTAAACAGCCACTTGAGGCTCAAAGAAACCAGATAATTTCCTTGAATAATTTGAAGCCTTTTCCCACATAGGTAATGTCTAACACTTGTAACGAGAACTTTTAAAGTAGGTTTTCTTCTGTTAGCCTTTCCTTTGAGGCAATTTCTCCTAATTTTGTTTTAACAAAAATAATTACTGGCCTGCTCAATACTCCAGTGCCTTGAGATAGTTAAGGTAGGAAGATTTGATTGTATTTGGAAATGACAACACATTCCGCGCATGACTCTTCTGTATTATGTGTTTTGATTAGTCCTGTCACTGTTTTTACTCAAAACGCAGTGTCAATAAACCGAAATCCTCCTTTTTTTTTTTTTTAATAACACAATACTCGTATACTGCTGTCACTGTCACTGTATGCACCCATTGGGTCTGAGGGAGATGTCTGAAGTCCTTCACTTAAATTATTTTATGATACTACTGTTTTCTCTATTTTTGAGGTTTTATTTTATTATTTTAAAATGTCTTTTGAAGGAAAGATTAATATAAGCATTCTTTGAATGCAAGGAAATTCAGCCCTGGGACATAGAACCATGTAATTCAATATAAGCATTAGAGTACTGCATGGTTGACAAACACCTAGTTCTTCACTAAAAACAAACCCACCTCTACACATACTTCAAAACTGAATTTGAAACCTTTAAAAGACCAACTGACTTTTTAGTTACATGAACCATAAGTGATTTTGCACAGTTGACACACCTGTGTGTACTGTGGAGGCCAGGACTTGGCAGAGGATATATCGGTGTACTGGGGTGTATGTAAATGGTAGCTTGCTTTGTTTCTATATTCCACACTCAAAGAACTTCAGAATTTTTCTGAATAATGATTTTACAAAAGCCATCATTTACATAATTTGTATAAAAATCTTAATACAATTTTAATCAAAATTTTAAATAATATCAAAAATGCTTTAAGATTCTGTATTTCTGGAGTACTATGAAATGACATGACTACATTGTGTTAAATATTTATTTTCTATGATTTTGGAATAACAATTTTTGTCTTAAATAAAATTCCAGTTATTTTAAGGAAGTTCAGGGAAGATTTGGTCCCATTTTGAAGATACAGTATTTTTATAGTATTTATAATCGATCCTAAATGATAGACTAGAGAAAGCATTTTTGTTACATGACGATAAACCAGTCCCCCCTATAGCTGATTTAAGCTCCAGCATCACACCTCCTGGGTTTTGGTTTCTGAAGTGGCACAGAACCTACCTTTGCACTGAATATCTTTTCATTCACACCTCCTCTGCCTTAGTCACAGTGGCAACAGTGCAGAAAATTCTAGCAAACCTCAGAATATAGTAGAAATAATTAAGCTGTTGAATAAGTCTTAAAAATCATACTACTGTTAAGTGGACCAAGTTTGGTGAAGCAGAATGTGACAGAGGTTGATTAAGGAAGGAACAACTTGGGGAGTGATAACTTTTCCACTTGAGAACTACTTTATGTTTTACTGTAATTTTTTAAATTTTTTTGTTCTGTTTGTTATTTTTCAAAAGAAAATAGTATTTACAGGTGGCTTCTTTTAAAATATAAAAATATAAGGCAGGAATGTATATGAAATGTCAGATTTTATTGTATTTGCAGAGTATTAGCTTTGAAATTGAATAAAGAAAGCTGTGTGTAGTTTTAAAATGCCTTATTGGTATCAATTAGAAATTTCTTCTATTTTTTGATGTATTTAGAGCTTTTTGAGTATAGAGTTTTAAATGGCAGGATTTTACAGTGTTTACATGCAAGTGCATTTTATAAGTGTTCTATATGTGTAAAATAGTATTTTCAACTGGAAAGCATGGGCTAGCGCGGAAGGCCTGCCCTCTTTCCGGTTCCCTTGATGTTGCCTACGTGCTAGTCGACAGTTTAGTATCGCTTTGTATCATGAGGCCCAGAAACTCCATGTTGTCTGTAAATAGAATAATTGAAAAGCAATAAACATTTATTGAACAAAAGAAACCTTGTTTGGCCCAGAGTTTATGTTGAACCAAATTGTTCATAGAAAACCAAATTTCTTTAGCTCCATTTCTGTTAATCATCAGTTATTAATAATCACATCCATCATTAATAGTTGCTTTAATGCTTGCATCTGAGAGAATACTAATGCTTAATAGCAGTCAGATACTGGTAACTGCACTGACTGTTCAGAATTCTGTATATCGGACCTATTCATCGTGTTGTTTTCCAATTTCTTTCATTGACTGCTACTAACTATTAGTTGTTAGTTGTATTTTATTTCTATTTTCCCCTGTTAACCAGTTTTTGTTTTTTTTTTTTTTTGTTTTTTGTTTTTGTTTTTTTTTTTGTTTTTTTTTTGTGGGAGTGGGCTCTCCTTCATTTGTTCAAATCATGATATAAAGTTGTCATGATTTTTATTGTATTCTGTAGATGGTGTCGATCAGTTTGTCAGAATTAAACATGCTTTTTTTATTAGTTGTGATTAGTTTTCATGTTGTCATTAAGCCGTCACTAGCTGAGACTAATCTCTTCTCTATCTTTTCTTTTCTTTTTTTTTTTTTTTTTTGTTTTGTTTTTTTGTTCCTAACCACCCAGCCGCCACCGGCAACTAACCTATGACCTTCTGACCTCTGAACTCTTCACCCAATGATGACCTGACCATGCCTGCCTGCTGATCAGTTAACTGGTAATCGCCTTTGCTTGCCTGTCGTCAGTGCAGCGAGCTGAGGCACTTGTCCGTTCGTCTTACCATCTAACCAAACAAAAGACAAAGAAATCGTTGTCCTCCAACTCAGCTTTCGTTGTTGTTTTTTCTGTTTGGGTGAAAGTGGTTCTAGAACCTGCACTGAATAGTAGCAAAGCAATAAGGCCCAATTCATCCCACAGCACTGATCATCTTTACTGTCCCACTCTAAGCGAACGGTAAGAAGGCCTCACTTCGGAAGGGGAGACAGATAGCCCTAACTACCCGGTGACAGAGGCAGTTACTGTGAGAGACTTTTAGGAACCCCTTCTCATAGCAAGTCGCAGCTCTCTGAATGTACTGTGTGGTGATGCATCATGCATGAACCTTCGGTCAGGGATGTCATTGGTGAAGTGATCTCAAAAGTATTCAAAATTTGACACGCTGTTCAGTCACTACATGCCCTCACAGGGCACGAGTCGCAGCCTTTTTAGTTGCTGCCCAAATCTGAAGTATTCGAAGTGTGCCATGAGAGAAAAGCTAATAAGGAGTTTGAAAAGTAATGCAAAGGACAAAACTGCAACACTATTTTTAAAAAGATAACTATCTGAGTTAAATTTACTGAACCTTTATCTTACACCTCCTTCAGAAATATGCGAGAGCAAGGTACATGCATTATGTGTCACATTACTGGGCAAACTGTTCAAATATTTTTTTTAAACCTCCCTGTATAGAAAAAATCATTAAGGATGTAAAAGCCATGCTTGCCTATTTGCTGTACACATGTAATGAACTTGTAGATAAAGTGTAGTGCATTGAAACACACGAACAAAGTAGATACTTTTACTATACAAGGGTGCTGGTGCAGAACAAATATATATATTTTTGGAAATGTAGCATTTTATACTTTCAAGTGTTATAAAAAAAAGAAAAAGAACAAAGAAACCCTTTATTTCATTAAATGATTTTTTCTGGTGGTTGTCAAGAAACAAAAGACCAAAAGAGCCTTTTTGTCTTTCTTTTTTATTTTTTAAGTATTGGAATAAGTCTAAAGACAAGAAAGTGCCTTATTTTCCTTCATGGTCATTTAGTCAAGTGTCTCGTAAGATCAGCTCCTCCCTCAGAATACAAGTCAGTGCATGTTACTCAGTCGCCCAGTATGTGAAAGAAGATTGGAGGGGAGAGAAATGAGTTGATGGTTGAATTGTGTGATTTTAGCCACATAACCTTGATGCAAATTTGCCAAATCTGATACTGTGAAAAAAATTGATAATTTTTCTAATGCCTGACAAGTTTTTAAAGTCATTCTTTTAAAACATAATTGAGTGCTCTGGTTATTGTAATGTTTAATGTTAGCCCCAAAGATTCTGAGATAAAGATTTTGTGTGATCTGAACATAAGTTCACAGAAAAAATTACAGAGTTTTAATTTATTTGGAGAAGGGGAGGGCATGGGTGTGTGTCTTGGATATTTTCTTATTAATTGGAGATGATATGCCAAGATGTCAAAGTCATCTTTGTTTTGATAAACAGTCATATCTGTGGTTTTCTTTCTGGAAGACAATGTGTTTAAATGACCCAAATTTAATCAGACTACTTGTCCGCACACCAGTGACTTGGGTAGTTCATCTCTTCGCTGGTTTTGGTAACTTACCTAAGCCACCCCACACACCTTTCTCTTTTTAACTTTAAAAGAATGTGAAAAACTAGCATCATTGTGCAAAGAAATACTCAACTACACGTGCTCGTAAGCTTCCAGCATCTCCAGAAGTTCAGTTAGCTTTGTAGTGGAAGCAGTTTGTGCACAGTCTACTTCTGAACACGGGAGTAAACAATTATTAATGGCTCAGTACCAGACGTGGCAAATCAAGGGCGGTGGCCCGGCTCATCAGCTCGTCCCCTCCCCACACCCCCGCAGCTTCACGGTCACAGGTCAGCAGTGAGCTTGGTAGCACCTCGTGGTGGTCTCCGCCATCTTGTCTCACTTGGAAACCGTTTTCAGTTTCTTTACTATGCAATAGACATTCATTGTTTTATATTCAGCTAGCTTCGGTTTAATGTGCCACTGCTTTGTCTTTCTGTTACACATACAGTTGTTTTGATTAATTGACAATATATGCTGTGCCATTTTGATTTTTATTTTGTTTGGTTGGTTGAATAAATTTGCGACACTCAAAACACTTGAGGTGATAGTAGTCTAAAAACGATACCAGTATTTGATCCAGTTTCATCTCAACTACGTTATACCTGGACATTTTAGATGTTTATCAAAGGTCTTTTTGGGGGAAGAAAGTAAATGTATGAAATAAATGTGTGACATTTATGAGTAATGTTGGCTCTGGACAAACTTCTAAAAACTTAGTTGACAAAATTTTGGATCAACTGAAAAAAAGCATGACTTTTGAAATCTCTGAATGCCTTGGTTCTCAGTATTATTCTTTATTGAATTTATTTCTTATTAAAATATGTAGTTTTTAAGACTTTTTTTCTGACAGTATTATGAAATTTTTAGTGTGGGTAGATGGGAGTGTCGCTTGTATGTTCCCGTACAGCTGACATGTATTTTGTCTATTCTTTGTTACCTTAGTAGTTTCATGCTGTGTATGTACCATAACCAACCTATTGCCTATGAGAAACATGTAAGATAATGTATTTACAGCCATTGTTACAAGTTTATAATGTATTTTTCTATCTTGTTTTATATGTATGTTATATAACATTCAAAAAGAATTTTTTTCTTGATTGAGAAAAGGATACAAAATGCAAAATTCACAATTTTGATAACTGAATATTGCCAATTGTTTTGCAGTACTTTATTATATTGGGAGTCTTTGTCTTTCTTGGGCTTTTAGTTAGCTAATGAATGAATACATTAGACACTTTGGGTTTTAGTTGGGATTTTACATAGCTTGCATTTTAATTCTTTGGTTCTTTGCTGTTTCTATTAACCCATAGCATTATTTTAATAAATGTTATATTACCAACCTACTAACTCTGGACTTTGTTTATTAACCTTTACGTGTTTAATTAAAATAAACAAATAAAGACAAAACCATGTTCAGGTCTTGAGTTACTGGACTAACCTGAGGAACGTGACCACAGATAACAGGCGTGGCTTGTCTTCGTGTTGTCTGTCGGCAGACAGCCGCGGCGCGGCCTCCCTTCGGGCGGCTGCAGCGGGGCGGGGGCACCACGCGCGGGACGCCTTTCCTCCGGTCTTGCCACTTGCCTCTAAGCATCTGCATTACTAATGCCACACTTTATTTTCCCTCCTCCTCCTCCGAAATAATCACTGTCCGCTCACAGCAGAGTGACGGGATTCGTTGTAACGATACACCTGACAAACCCGTTGCATTCTTTGTTGCGCCATTTCTTCACAGGGCCAGCGCTATGGCTTTATGATCAAGCCACAAATCTGGGGCTGTCCCACCTTTATTCAGATGTGCGCGTTCGTTAGACGTGTATCCTTCATCGAGCGCTGGGTGGTTGGGCCGGCGGCTTCTGCCAGCGGGACTCTGGCGGGTGGAGCCACAGGTGGGGCGACCCTTATCAGACCATCCGGGCGGGCGGGCGGGCAGGGCCGGCCCCCCTCCCACGCCAGCCTCAGGAGGGACCCGCTAGCACAGCTGGACTAGCCTCGGGTTTCCCTGCGCTCTCACCCTCTCCCCAGGACAGGCCCACGCGGCGTCAGTGCGCACAGGGCGCCCAGCCCCAGTGGCTGCCGGGTGGGCTCCGCGTCGCTGACCTGCTGGTCGTGTGCAATTTCTTGGCTTGTTCTTGCTGCTTGCGGCTGCCACCTCGCTAAACCGACCTCTGTGCATGAATTCTTGAGTTTAACTTGAGGTGCTTTTTTTATTTCACAGATTCTGGTCTTTTCCTTCTCTGTGAAGTAGTTGTCCTGGGTTACCCATTCTCAGGGTGAATCTTCGCCTTTGTAAACAACGGTCTATCTCGGTTAGGGGCGCTTTGCTTACTCTAGAGTTCTCGCGGTGGGAGCTGCGGAGAGTCGCCTGTTACAGAAGGAACAACCACTCATGTGCTGTTTACCAGCCCGGTGACCAGGCTGTCCCCGTGTTCCGCCCGTACACCCGCGGCGTGCACACGCCTGGGGCTGCGCTCAGGGGGCTCGTGCATTTCCTCCCCGCGGTGACGGCTGACCGGATCGGAACAGACCAGGCGGCCTTAGGTCAGACTGATCGTCTCGGTGGCGGGGGCCTGTGTGGCGGTCAGGTGGATGGGGCTGACACGTGGGCGGGGGGCGTCCGCGTCCCCACGGCGCAGCACACACCTGCAGTAACTGGAAGATGGCTTCAAGCTGCTAATGTGCACGTTGTCGTGGCACCTTGTCACTTCACATGATGAAGAAATGCTGCGTCACCTGCCATGCGTGCTCCGAGCCCTGTGAGCGCAGTCGCGTCTCATTTTCAATTAAGGGTACTTATGTCATTGTCACCTTTTGTGTTAAAAAGCTGTAAAGCACCATTTTCAAAGGTGAACGTGTGAATCCCGCTTTACTGCAGCTGTGTAATAGCATCGAATCCGAAACTCCCGCGTTCTTGGAATGATAAACGCTGCGGTCAGTGTAATTTATGCTGTTCTGTTGCTGGCCAAACACTGGAAGGCGTCACTGAGGAGATGGTGAAGTCGGTGCTGGGTGGTGGGGCGCATTTTTCGAGCAAACGGTGCCCTTTGAGGAGCTGGTGCCCAGTGACCCCCGTGGGCTAGCAGAGTCCGCCGGCAGGTGGGACTCTGTCACCCTGTCCACAGCCGTGTGTGCAACTGGACACACAGTAGGGAAGTGCTTGAGGTTTCCTAGGCAGATGCAGCTTGGAATTTTCTAGAGAGCACGGAAAGCAGACAGAGGGTTACATAAAATTGCTCATGACCAAATACTTTTTGCCAGCCAGCGAAGTCTTCGTACTTCGTGTGTCACAGGCTAAACTTTCTCCACTTGGGGCCGGGGAGGCTGCTGGTTGGAGAGGTCTTTCCCCCATAGACTTCGCTATTACAGTATTTCCAGCAAGTGGTTTTTGGTTCGATGAAGTGCACCGCTAAATTATGAGCCATTATTCAATAGAAAACGTTTTGGACTCAAACTTTCTCAGGAGTACAGTAAGGTAGTTGTTTTTTTTTTTTAAAACATTGTCACAGATTCCTTAATATCTTCATCTAAAATGGAAACTTTTTATAGACAACATTTAGAAATACCACGTACACTTACTCAGTGGTGTCTTTTTTCTGCAAAGCTGTCTGACTTGAAATGGCTTTGTTACGAAGAGACTTGGTGCAATTCTGTGCCACCCTGGCCCTCAGTACTGAATCAGACTGGCTCTGCCAAGTGCAGCGCCATCCCCCATCTCTGCTGCGGGCTGAGACATGGAGGAGGTGGGTGGCGGCTGCAGCCGAGGGCGCCACCGTCCGAGGGCGCCACCGTCGATGTCGCGCTGCTCGTGACTTGCTGTCCCTTCTTGACAAGAGACACTTCATTGTGGAAAAAGCTCAGCTCCCAGCTTAAAAACTGTCGTCTTGACAATGCGATTATGGAGAGATTTGATTACCAGGTACGTTTTCATGATCTGCATCGTGTGTGTAGCCGCCATTCAGAGCGTTTCCTGTGGAAGTGGGTGTGGAGAGAGACATTGGGGTGGGTCTTCCTGAGCCCCACACTTGCCGCCCCCTCCCCCCCCCCCCCGCCCCGTGCTGCTGTGGCCCCCTCTGGAGTAAACCCCCAGAATAAAGGACGCACATTTTTAATTTTTATTGCTACCGTTAACACCTTTTAAAAGAAAACAGGAGACTTGACATTCTGGAGCTCTGATACCACTTAGCTGGAGGGTGAGCGTCGTAATCGCCCTGATTAAAGAGGAAATCAGTAAATTGGCTTCTGTGTTCCCAGTGGGACGTGCATCCGAGGCCTCACGTTAATGAACTCGGGTCCAATCTGCATGCAGCTTTAGATGCAAGAATGCAGACATGTGCCGGCCCCGCGCGGACCAGCATCCTCGGCTGCTTGGGCGGAGAGAGACGTGGGAGTTCCCAGGAGAGTGTGCGCTCCTAAGACTTTGTCTTGGCCTCTTAGTGACTCCTCACACCTGAAGTTTCTCGTCCTGTTTGTTTTTTTTTTTAATGGATAATCTCCGTGTCACTTGGGCTTTCTGACCATTCACCAGAACCTTCGTTTCATTGGCGGCCTCCTCCACACGCCCTGGGGAGCGCACTGCAGGACTCAGGCACAGGATGCACCTCGCAGCCCCCAGCCCGTGGGCCTGGCCCAACTGGTCGCTCACAGAGGCCAAAGGCGAGACCCCAGATCCCTTCACAAAGCCTGTGCTGCTTCAGAAGTCAAAATACCTAAGAGGCTGCGGGCTGCATGCTCTCTGTGGCCGTCAGCTGGAATGGCCAGTGGTGCCCTCATTGGAGACCAGGCACCCTGCCCTGCGGCCATCCGCCACGCGCCTGGGCCTGTGGTGTCCCGCAGGCGCTCACATCCTCGCCTCCCTGGGGCTACCTGGCTCCCGGCCCCGAATGCATGACTCTTCACACGCCAGGCCAGCTTCTCAAAGAGGAGAAGTAAAGCAGGTTTTCATGTTTTTCCTCCTGTAAAATCAGATGCAAACGGGTTTAAGCGAAAAATACTAATCTAAACTTAATTCAAATAATACGCTTCATAGTTAGGGAGCGATTTCCATGGCGTGAGTGGAGGGACTAGAGTCAGGTTTTCTTCCTAATGTAATTTATAGTATCTGCTACCCTTGACTGCAGCTCTGTGGTCTCATTAGGAAGCCGTTCAGCTAATTGTGCATCTAACAGTTGTGTAGGAAACATTCCACATCTAAAAGAAAATGAGTCATCGTAAGGCTGAGAATACATCTTTCCAGAAAACGTATATTAAAGTCATTCTAGTTAAGTGCTACTTTGTAAGGCATATGGAGACAGCACAGGCCATAAGACCACGCGCTGCCCAACAGTTTTAGCATCTCAAAGTTAAGATGAAAATTCACTAGGGTTTTATTTCCTTAGTGTGTGTTCTGGCTACGTGGCTGGGTGCTAATGCAAGTTATGGGGCAAATGGGTAAGAGCAAAATACTAAGAAAAGTATTTGCGGGCGAATCCACTCTTATTTACAAGAAGCTAGTGCAGAGCTATTCCAGTTGATAGTCATTAAGAATTCCCAATCATTTAACTTCTGTCAAGTACTTTGGCTAGACTTGAAATCTGAAATTTAAGGCTGGCTGGTAGCCCCGGCCGCCGGCCGATGTAGGCTTGAAGGTTCAACAGCCCAGTAGTGCAAGTGGCGGGTTGGGGATGATGCGTCTCATTAAGTGACGTGGGCACTTGCCTGTCGTTTTCTCACTGAGATAAAGGGCATAAAATAATCACTGAAAATGTAAGTTTATTCTAGGTAAGAACCCAGGTGATGGGTAAACGTAAAACCTGGCGGTTGCGGTGCACATCTCCCTGCAGAAACGCCCACGCTGGGAGTTGGCGAAGCGGAGCTGGGCACAGCAGGCAGGGGCCAGATGAGTCAAAAAATCGAAGCTCCGGTGTTCACCCCTGCTCACCGCCAGGCGCCGGCTGTGGGCACGCCGTGGAGGAAAGGTGGTGGGTTGGTTTGTTTGTTTTTTTTTTTTGTGGGACCCTCGCCGGCGGCCGGGGAATGAACCGGCGCTGCAGAGGCTGCAGGCAGCCTCGCAGCCCAGCGCTCAACCGCTGCGCCACCGGGGGAGGCCCGGAAAGGTGGTTTTTAAGTCAGAGGAAGAATCAAGAAACTTACGAGTTGGACGGCGCGGCTAGAAGCCTGTCCCAGTGCCGCTTCTCAAGTGGACAGGCTCCTCCCGCTGCCCTTGGTGTGGAGACACAGAACTGGGCGTAGCTTGTGTGTTTATGTATTCCAGAGGGCATCGCATGCCCCTGCAGCCTCCACGGGGCTGTCTGACGGCGCGTGCCAACCAAGGAGAGCATCACCCGCAAGAGCGGCTGCGCTGCGCCCTCCGAGGCCTGGACCCCTCCCGGGAGGCGGTGGCCTGCGCTGGCCCAGCGGCCCGGCGTGTGTGGTCTGTGGAGACT